TATTTAAGAATGTGGTTTGCAGCGAGAAAAAGTGTTTTGTTATAACGGGTGTCATCAGGAATAGTGATCCATAATTTGGGTAAGTGTATGCACCTATCTATGTTGGTTCGCAAAGCTGAGTCATGAGAGGCGTTGTGATACTGTGGGGAGCCGTAGTATTCACGAGTCAGTGAGAGGCTGTTGTGATACTGTAGGGAGCCATAATATTCACCAGTCAGCGAGAGGGTTTTGTGATACTGAGGGGAGCCATAGTATTCACCAGTCAGCGAGAGGGTGTGGTGATACTACGGGGAGCCATAGTATTCACCAAGCAGTGAGCGAGAAGCGTTGTGAATCTACGGGGAGCAGTAGTATTCGATAGTCAGAGCATGACGCAGAAGACTTTTTAGGCTTGGGTAGCCTTATTCTTTGAGTTTCGAGAACTCGGTGGTCGGACCAGGGGCGAGACTGGGGTCTCCATGTATGTCGGGGATAGTTATTTTCCGTGGTTATCATGATCGAGAGAAATTGGAGGAGTGATGTATGCGTGGCTTGCGGGTCATGGGTCATGAGTTGAGTGCTTCATTGGGACGAGTGGTCCCAATTCGGTGCCGGACCAGACTCTCGAGTTTGAGCTTGGCTTTGGTGGTGTATTAAGTAGGTGAATGAGAATCCGGATTCAGAGATGGATTTCAATTGAGGGATTGTTGTGGTCATCTGATGTCTTAGACCTGAGTGGGTCAGTTCATTTGAAAGGGAAGGACCGCGAGACGCGTGGAACTAATGAGTAGTAGACGACAGAGGTCGAGGGTGAGACAATTTCCATTGATATTGTAGAGCGAAGTTCGTGACTTGTGTGTCACAATGGGCCGAGATAGTGGTTGTGAGAAGGAAGTCAGTGAGACGTTTTGGGGCATGCAAAAGGTAACCTTTGGAGGTTCAACTATGGGGTCAGGAGTAGACATGGTGCTCAGTGTTGAGAGGTTTATCTGATAGGGAGATGGAGCTTATGATTGTTAGATTTCAGAAGATACTTCTGAGCAATCATGATCATTTTCTTATGTCCGAGGACAGGGTGCTGAGAGTTCTTTGTTCAGATGGGTTTCGATTGCAGTTCAGTGGATGGGTTTATGGTGTAATGTGACCCTTTCGTTCCTTGGAGTATGTTATGTGTAACATCCCCCTCTGGCACGTATCACAATATTGTCCGCTTTGGGCCACTCGGCACGAGGACTTCCCAGGGGGTCACCCATCTTGGTACTACTCCCGCCCGAGCACGCTTAACTGCAGAGTTCTTATGGGATCTGCTGCCCTCACGGCTTTAAAACGCGTTGTGTTAAAGAAGGTATCCACACCCCTTATAATGAATGCTTAGTTCTCCTTCCCAGCCGATGTGGGATCAGATCTAACCCACTTGACAAGTGGGTTAGATCTGATCCCACATCGGCTGGGAAGGAGAACTAAGCATTCCTTATAAGGGGTGTGGATACCTTCCCTATCACAACGCGTTTTAAAGCCGTGAGGCCAACAGATCCCATAAGAACTCTGCAGTTAAGTGTGCTCGAGCGGGAGTAGTACCAGGATGGGTGACCCCCTGGGAAGTCCTCGTGCCGAGTGGCCCAAAGCGGACAATATTGTGATACGTGCCAGAGGGGGATGTTACAAATGGTATCAGAGCCAGGGTACGGGTCGATGTGTTCGACGGGGACGTCGAACCCTATAATGGGGGGTGAAAGTGGGTTAGATCTGATCCCACATCGGCTGGGAAGGAGAACTAAGCATTCCTTATAAGGGGTGTGGATACCTTCCTTATCACAACGTGTTTTAAAGTCGTGAGGGCAGCAGATCCCATAAGAACTCTGCAGTTAAGCGTGCTCGGGCGGGAGTAGTACTAGGATGGGTGACCCCCTGGGAAGTTCTCGTGCCGAGTGGCTCAAAGCGGACAATATTGTGATATGTGCCAGAGGGGGATGTTACATTATGGATCGCTTAGTATGTCTGGTATGAGTGATCGGTGACAAATCCTTGGGCTTTGACTTGTTTTTAGCAGTCGTAATGAGAGAATCAGAGGGGTAATGAGTTTTCAGGGTTTGTTATTCGAGGAGCGAATAACATGGTGATAGCTTGAGAGGGCGGCATGGCAGTGAGACATACCACTAGAGTTTTCAGATTCTGGAGAGTCAAAAAGGGTATCGTAACGGTAGAAGGGCATGTCCTCTTCCAGGTTTGGGATTTCTTGTTTGGTTTCAAATGTCCATAGAGGAAGTTAAATTGTGTGATATGAGATCCTTTCGGTGGTACTTTTCGGGTTGTTGGATTCGGTCTATGTGACTTTGAGAAGCGATTTCGAGGGCGAAACCTAATTCAAGTGGGGGAGAATTGTAACATCCGGACTTTCAGATGCATTAATGTGTGTTTATCTTTGAGATTTTTAGAGTCACTCGACGAGTCGTGAGTCCGACTCGCCAAGTAGGGCTGAGTTGCCAGCGAGGTTTTAATGAGTGGACTCGACGAGTCAGAGAGCTGACTCGCCGAGTAGGTGTTGTGCAGAGAAACCCTAATTTCTCGTGGGTTGGGGGCTATATAAAGAAACTTATAGCCTTATTTACGGCTCACCTTCACTGAGGGTAAACCCTAATGTCCTTTTGAGCTAGAGAGTGTGAAAGGAGTTAATTTTGGGGTCTTTTGGTACATTTCTTTTGAAGTGGAGGGAAGGATTCATCAAGGATCAAGAAAGAGGCCAGTGGATCAGTGTTATTTCGTCCAAGAGCTTCTGGAGAAGGTAAAAAGTTATCATATTTCTCCTTGTGGTGATTAGATCTCATGTTTTGATGAATAGGGCTTTCTATCACTTTTTTGTTGAGATATGAGTGCATGGAGTCCCTTTCTAGGCCTAGACTTCAGATCTGGACCTTGTGAGGTCCAAAGGGTCCAAAGGCTTAAGCTTTATTCAGTCACTTAAAGAGTTATTGTGTTTGGTGTCCTTATTGGAGCATGTATTGGCATTATGAGTCTTATATGCCATGTTTGAACGTAAAGCTTGCAACTTTACGTGACAATCGACCCTTAGGATGGTAGATCTAGTGTTTGGAGTGATGGATTTGTCTTGAATCGTCTGAATGAGGAATCTGATTGAAGGGACTCGCCGAGTCCATGGCCTGACTCGACGAGTCGGTGGGGGTTTGTCCTGATGTGTTTGATTGTACGATAACTCAGCGAGTTGGGGATCAACTTGACGAGTCGGGTCAAACATGGACTGTTGACTCGAGTTTGACTTCTATTGACTTTATGGTTGGGTCAATCATGAGTAATGGAGACCATGGAGGGGTAAAATGGTCTTTTATCCACTTTAAGAGTTAGACAGAGAAAAAAAATAGCATTTGGTGTATTCGAGTATGCATATAGTATTAATTAGAGATGATATCCCATGTGTTAGGCGGAGGCTAGTTTGGGATTTCTGAGTACGAGGCTGTTACTTGCTAGCTTGTGAGGTGAGTCTTCTCATTATACTTTATCTAGAGTGGTAATTATGTGTGACCAGAGAGTCTTATGTGCTTACTTGAGTTATGCATTTTGTCTGTGTGATATATATATATATATATATATATATATATATATATGCTATGTTATATGTCACTGAGACCGGACCAGAGGGTCCAACGAGCCATGGGACTGGAGGGTCCCACTAAAACACTTGGACCGGAGGGTCTTACAGAGTTATAGCCTCGAGTGGCTAATGTGTTGTATGTGGTATTTTGGGGAACTCACTAAGCTTCGTGCTTAGTGTGTTGTGTGTCATGTGTTTTAGGTTTTTCTCAAGATCACGGGAAGGCATCAGCTTGATTGTACACACTAGTGAAAGAACTATGTTTCGATGATCCTGGATTTAATCAAACCATTATGGGGTTGTGATTTGTAATTCAAATAAATGAGATTTTTGTGAAATATATTATAAGTATTATACGATTTTAAATGAAAATTTTATTTGAAAATTTAAGGTGTTACATGTTTCCTTAATGTTTTTTTTATATACTTAGGATCTATTCCATATGTATCAATATTATCAATCCAACTCCTTAACAAAAATGCTATTTAAAAAGATCTCCCGACCCATGCGAAAGCATGGATCACTTCCCTAGTTAATAATAAAAAGTAAAAATATATAAAAAATAATATTAAGGGTAACATAGTCGATTATATGTCTCTTAAGAACTACAATCCAAACACATCTAAATGATATGAACATTCCAAGAGCAAAAAAAATTAAACCAAACACACACTATCCCAAACCACAAGGATCATTAATTTGTCCCAAAATATATAATATATATATATTTTTTCAAAAAAAAAAAAAACTCCACGTACTAACGTGACTTTTTATTTCAATCAAATGTCACCCTTTAAACCTCATGGTGTATTTATTTTCTATTTATTATTTTTTTAATTTTGCTATTTTAATAACAAATGAAACATTTTCTTGAAATTTCAATGTTATTATTATTTTTTTTTTTTTAAATTTGAAATGGTCCAAAATCAATAGCGTATTTTTTGTCAGAAAAAATATTTTAAATGTGACATAAAATTAATCTAAAATGACGATTTATGCCGTACAAATTTAAACTTCTTAAAACACAAAAACTTAGTTACTTTTATTAAATTATTATTTACAATGACTAGTTTTGTTAATACCAAATAAAATTGCAAATTGTATAAAATTTTAAAAAATATCATTAAAAAGTGTTAAATAAAAATTTATATATATATTTTTTAGGAAAATTTCATATATATCTTTGCAAACATTAAGAATTACGTCTATATCCTTTTAAAGTTTATAATTAGGTATATATCGTTATAAACCTACTAAACTCACATTTATATCTAATTTTATAATTTAATTAGATATAAATCAATTTAATATCAAAAAATATATTTAAAAATAAAAAATACATGTAGATTTACTAAAATACCCATTACACAATATATACAAAATTAAATCTTATTATTGTTTTTCGCTAGAAATTGTTAATCAGGTTTTTTGGGGAAAATTCAATTCCTTAGTCGTCGATCAACCATTTGACCTTTCTCCATCGCCAAAAATTGAGTTCCATCTCTCCTCATTTTCTGGTCTCCATCACCTTCTTCCTGTTGTTCCTTCTTCAGTTCCTCTGTTATTTCCTAATTTCTACTGATTTTTTTTTTCACATTCGAAGCATTTCGATTTGTGGGTGCAATCGAATTGGGTTTTTGATCATCGGGTACAACCCACCAAATATCTTTCAAATAATCGAAGTACCTAATCTTTGTGGATTCCGTTTCGAGTTTGGTGGAGGCGAGGCAGTTACAATGGCAACTTCGAAATCTCTGCACTAACATATTACTGGAGGGAGTATTTAAAGAGCTCAAATGACGATATTTTTTAAGCCATCAAAAAGCCGATCATCATTGTTGCTTCTGATTATTCAAAAGAGTTTCGAGTTAGAAGAGATGACATTGATGAAACTTTATTCTCTTGTAAATTGATTAAGTGTTACGCATGTGATAAGGTGGATTTAGGTTTGCCTGGAGATGAAGAACAACAAGACCTTAAATTGGGTAACCCTCAAATTAACAGTTACGATTATGGAGTCATGGAAGCTTTGATCGTTGAAATCGAAGAATAATTCTTGATTTGTGGTGAGGCTGTGAGGATTAAAGAGATTGTCGACAACAATAAAGATGAGGTAGTTCACATTCCTTGATTTCAAATCAATTTGTTTCTTAACAAATCGAGTTCATGGATTGTAAATTATGCTCATTGTCTATCATTTTTCTTTGCTAGTCTGAATCGTTGTTGTACAACTCATTGAGTAAGCTTTAATCGGTAAACCTTTCTGTGTAAACTCTCAAGGTTCGGAGACAACATCTATCAAATACATGTTCTTATAATTTATGAATTTACAAATACATAGTTCTATCTTTAACATGAATATTCATGACTTTAATTGATTGATTTATTGCAATATTTGATTAGGTTTAATGCTAATTAAATCTATTTAGTTCTATTCACTAATAATTTGGAAAGGATAATTTAGTACAATCACTTTTTATTTTGATTTTTAAATATATTTTTTGATATTAAATTGATTAATACCTCATTAAATTATCATATTGGATATAAATGTGAGTTTAATAGATTTAGAAAGAATATATACGATAATTACAAACTTTAGAAGGATATAAATGTAATTCTTAATGTTTTTAAGGATGTATATGAAATTTTCCTTGTTCAATTTTGCAGACCACCAATGCAGCTATTACACGTCAACTTTTGAATATGTAGTATAAGCAACTGTAGTTTAGAGGTGTTTTCGCACGAATAGATCGTGCGATTAGTTCCCATCTTTGCCATCAAGATCCTCCTCCATGTGAAGTGACACTGACACATCCACTCAACCAAAAAATGAAACAACCGGACAGGTGATATCCGGCCATGAACTACTTCATACCACTGAGGAGGCCTTTTGCTCATCTACATAATCAGCGTGTGAGATCGCACTATTCCGCTAAGCCTCGGTTTCGATGGAGGTTTTCGAAGGTAAAGACCAATTATATTGCAAATACTCAATGTAATTTGAAACTTGACGAGTCATTCTATTGATATTGAACCCCGTTCAAGATTTTTGGTAATCGGTTTGTTGATCCTAATTTTGGTTTTGGCATTTTAACAAACAGTTGATCAGCCGGAACATTTACTGTTAGTGAACGAAGACGAGCATGGTAGGTTTAGTGGATCAGATGCCAAAATCGAAGTGAAGAATTTGTGGAGATTTTCAGATAAAGGAGTTTCCATCCTTCAGAACGTAAGTCTGGACATACCTAGTGGCAAAATCATCGGAATCATAGGCCCGAGTGGTAGCGGTAAGTCTACGCTATTAAGAGCACTCAACCGTCTATGGGAACCAGCTTCCGGTACGGTGTTCCTTGACGGAAAAGATATCACCGGCCTTGATGTTCTTCAGCTGCGGCGAAAAGTCGGTATGCTGTTTCAGCTTCCTGTTTTGTTCGAAGGTAAAAATTAAATTATCATATTCTAATTTTGGGTCATATTAAATAATTACTTTTGGTTGCTATAACTTTAAATAAGAGAAGCATGCCCAAATAGCATCTCCTACACCCCGAAATTATTATAATCACTTTTGAAACGCACTACTAAGAAGTTGCAAGAATACTGGTTATTGAGATAAATATATAATTACCTACATTTATGTGGTTTTAATCAACTAAATATGTTATTTTACTTGTGATTAATAGCTTTCAAAACGTATGTACTTCTAAAAATGAGATGCTGGAGTAACATTTAGATTCTGAACAGGGACAGTTGCAGACAACATAAGATATGGGCCACAGCTGAAAGGAAAGAAACTAAGCGATCAAGAAGTGTACAAGTTGCTGACTTTTGCTGATCTTGACTCCTCTTTCTTCAATAAACATGGCAACGAGCTATCTGTTGGTCAAGCTCAAAGAGTTGCACTTGCTAGAACATTAGCCAATGAGCCAGAGGTAATGTGGTTCGTTTTGCTTAAATTATGGTAAGAAAAGTAACTCATGTGAAATTTACCTAAGTACCCCTTTCTTGTTGGGTCTTCCTTACTTAGGTTCTGTTATTGGATGAGCCAACAAGTGCTTTGGATCCAATATCGACACAGAACATAGAAGATTTGATGATGAAGTTGAAGAGTAGTAAAGGGATGACGATTGTTATGGTTTCCCACAGCATTAAACAAATTCAAAGGATTGCAGACGTGGTTTGTGTGCTTGTAGGTGGTGAAATTGTTGAAGTTGTGAATTCAGACAAACTCTCAGAAGCTAAGCATCCTATGGCAACAAGATTTCTTCAACTCGGTTCTTGATTTCTATCAGAGTTCAACAATTGAATCCCCCTAATAGTGTTTATCAGAACACTCGGTATGTGCATAATGATTAATATAAATGTTTGTTTTTTTTTTTTTTTTTTTTTTTTATCAATACAGAGCAAATAGTGCGGGTTAATTTATGCACAAATTGGTTGAACAAAGTGAAATGAAGTTTTACCAGTGATAAATTAGGAATAAATTTTAAGAATGGGGATGGGAGAACATTATCTCTCAAACCCTCAACAACATAATACTAAAGATATATATATATATATATATATATATATATATATATATATATATATATATATATATATATATATATATATATATATGCACCTAAACTTGACATTTTTATTCCGCCAACTATCTTTGGGGTAACATCTTCCGGTTTTGACTTTAAGGTATAATAAAATTCAGACCTGAAATGACATGTCACAAGTTGGTACCTCAAAATGATAAAGTTAATTAAAAGAAAAACAGTCAACTGACACTAACTGGTGAATTTAAAAAAAAAAAAAAAAAAAAAAAAGGTATGGTGAAGTTGCAAACTAATTAACCTGGGGATTCTCAATTCGGCATTTCTGGAGCTCCTCTTGTGCACATGCGAGCCTCCATTGTAAATAAGTTATTTCATTAAGTAAATCCTTTTCCCTATTGCTGCTTGCATCGAGCTGAAAATAGGGAAATAAAATTATTTTTGAAATGGAGACTTATAAAGCAAATGAATACTTACCGTGGGTTTTTCTAGTATGGGAAAGTTTGCAGATGGGCATCCTCCATCTATATTAAAGTTAGAATCACCAGCGGAGTTTGCCTTCATTAGACTCAATATGCAATCCTATAACAGTAAAATGTGTAAACAATCTTTTACTTTTCAAGTAAATTGAAAAGTGAAGGACTTTAAATTTGCATGTGATATATAATAAGTTTTACATACCCTTTGAAGAGTATTCGTCTGTAAGACAAACTGGAGGGCAGGCATAGGAAGATTGTTCTGATGACCAATGGGATTTTGGGGTATTACCTACAAACAATATTATATTATTATTGCTAATAAATGTGGTATCAATATTTTTTTATAAATCCAAACCTGCATGCTATGACTCTTCTGCATTATGGGGGGTGGGGCTGCTGCTGCCTACAAAGAAATAATGATTTTTAACTTTAATCTTGATGTAAATGGAAGCCTCAAAAATATTTATCAAATTCAAAAAAATATAATAAAATAAGTGAGCTAAATACCTTGTCAAAGTCGATACTCTCGGAAGTAACCTTAAAACGGCCTCTTTGTTGGACACGATGACCTTTTGCTTTGTCATCATGTTCATCACCACTTGCTGCTCCATTGCAACTAGGGACTCTAGAGAATTGACCTTGCAGCTTCTCACTGTAATTTCATATAATCAAATAAAAACGAGTCACTTGTGAAACAGCTTAAACTAGAGACTTCACAGAAACAGAAAAAGGTATCTTAACATTGCTGCATATCATATGCTATTTTCTAGCAAAACATCAAAAAATAAGTTAGTAATCTATGTGTATTCAAGGCCAATAAGTTGGTAATCTAACGACAAAATGAATAAAAAATTTATGGATTGGAAGCAATTTCATATAAACATTGCACTTTCCAGCATTAGTTACGATTCAATGAAGTATCAAACCATTACACCATTTCTTGCACCAAAATAATAAAAATCGAGTAATATTTGGGGCAAAAGGTAGTTCCTGTCCAACCCATTGCACCATTTTTATCATAACAAGAATAATTCCAGGCATATTCATTTTCTTATAGAACTTAAAAAACAACCCTTATATTTATTATCTTGATCTAATTTTTTTTCTTTTTATCACGGTAGCTTTATAGATTATTATTATCAAAAATTTATAACCAGCAATAGTATGTGCATATAATTAGTCATCAAAATTTAAATAAGTTTGCAAAATAATTAATAAAAAGTGTAACATATTAGCATATACGTTAAAAACATAAACATTAAAATACAATATAAATTAATCTGAATTTCATTTATAATATAATAACATCACAATAAATTTATATATTTTAACTTTAAATAAAAACATATTTATACTAAAAAATATCAGCAGCCCGTCTAGCTCAGTTGGTAGAGCGCAAGGCTCTTAACCTTGTGGTCGTGGGTTCGAGCCCCACGGTGGGCGAAAGTTTTTGGAGGTAAAGCTCAAAATCGTGTGTTTTTTGTTTGTATAGAACTATATAAAAATCCCATTCTTGTAAATTTTATTTTGTATGCGGATATTTGAAGCTAAGCCCAAAAGATAAAAGATAATTAATACCTATCCCATGAAGCTGCCCTCTGGTGAGAATGAGAAGTAATGCGATCGAACTCACTGGAATTATCAGCACGAGGAGAAGAATTTGCTGAAACCATTTGTCCGCTGTTAGAACCAACGCTTAACTCATCTTCAGATTTCTCGCATTTTCTACTCACAGATAAAACAAACTGTAAATCCAATAATAATAATACCCACTCTCTCACCATATGCAACAATTTAAACTAAACATAAACGTACATGGATAAAGGAGCCAGCGCAGATGGATCCTACAATGATTTTAATTAAATAATTAATTAAACCCAAAACGTAAAACAGATGAATACTCATCCAAAACTTTACTTACAATTTCTGCACTTTCTGAAGCTTCACTCAAGGATGACAACTGATGCTGAAGCTTTCTTTCATTAAGACCAGTCCCGGGGAAGGAATTCATGCTTCCCAACTGATATTTCTCAGCTACAGAGTCCTCATCTTGGAGCTTTTATTACATGAAAATTATTGTCACTTAATACATGATTAACCTACTTTTTTCGGCTTAATTCAAAAAGAAATAACCATGTATAGCTTGTCTAGACATTAACCCCATTAAATAAAAAATGTAGGCAACATACCAAGGAAGCTTGTGCCTTGACATCTTCAAGGTCAAAGTTCCATCCACTGATCCCTCTTTTGTATTCGTTCTGGAAGGAAGTTATTTTTAAAAAGATAAGTACAAAATTATGCTTCGTTAATGACATTTCAATAACCCCTACCTGTGACATTTCTTCTTTCTGCCCATCTGGAATTTCCTTTTGAGCAAGCATATCTTCCTCCTTTTGCTGTTATTACAAAAATTAGTTTCTCAGCACAAAAAGATAAATAATAACATTACAATTAAAAGAAATTCTTATAATAGACCAACCTTTAGTGCTTGAAGACGATCACCAATTGTTGGGAGGCCTTCTAGAAGCTTACGTACTATAAAATCATTTGATCTCGCTTGTTTGAAAAAATAATGCTTCAAAAGCTTCTTTGCAGAAGGGCGCTTTGAAGGATCTTTGACTAGACAACTTGCAGTCATCTGCTTAAAAGACTTTAAATTGAAAATAAACAATGTGTCAGTGTCAGATCACATACTTCAAGTATTATCAAGAAAAACAGAAGCTGTTACCTTGGAAAACTTATTGTCCCTCTCATAATCAAAACCAGGGGGTGCATTTTGCAAGGTCATTAGCAAAACCTACCAAATATGAATAAAGTATTTTAAACTAATTGATCATTAAAACATTAAGCAACATTTATGCGTGAAAAGTGAAAGGCACCTTCATTGGGGGATATTTAGAGAAAGGAGCATGCCCATGAGCAAGCTCCAGAGCTGTTATACCAAAAGACCATATATCAGCCCTGCATAGAGGGAAATTACCAGCATGCCCTTTAGGTATAAAAAGTAAAAACAATTTTGTGTTTGGATAATAATAATAATAATACATAATAAGTGGAGAAGTTTTTATGTGGTAAAGAAAAATTACTGACTTGAAGTCATATCCATGTAATTGCTCCATAACCTCAGGGGCCATCCTAACAAAAAAGGTAAATGTCTGAGTAAGAAAATAATTTCGGATTATTTGGTAATCATCATATTTAAAAAAGAAATGTTGATAAAGAACAAGAGTATATAAATATGAGAATTTACCAGCATGGTGTCCCAACAAAAGTATTCCTAACACGTTGTCTGTCACCTGAATCAAATAAGCAAGCTGAAACACCAAAATCACCCAGCTTGATTGCACCTTGGTCACTGATAAGAATGTTCCCAGCCTATGCAAAACCCCCACACAAAAAAAAAAAAGCAAAGTATTCAGTTTGGAATATAAATATATAATTATAATGGGAATGATGAAAACTGAGTTACTTTGACATCTCGATGAATGTGGCCATGATGATGAAGATACTCCAATGCCTTTAATGTCTCACGCAGTATAGTTGCAATAACAACTTCTTCAAATCCCTCAGGATGAAAAGCCTTCAACATATGAAGACAAGAGCCACCAGCCATAAAAGGCATAACAACCCATAAGTTATGGTCATTTACAAAGGAGCAGTGTGATTTAAGAACATTTGGATGATCAACCAGCATCATTATCTGAGACTCCCGTGACACGTTGTTCTGGAAAACAACAGATCAAAATTTTTGTAAGTTCCTTTTAGATGAATCTATGGGAATTGAATCTTGGAGATGTTGTTACTATATCAGCTAATTAATCACTATAACATAGATTTTTTTTTAAAGTATCGTGAATAAACTATGGAGAAACAAAATCTGAATTTACCAAATCGCAGTTTCCTTGTTCAAAATCGAGAACTTTGATAGCCACAACCTCATTGTTGTCGAGACACTTGGCCCTGTAAACATAGGCGTTACCACCTTGCCCAATCTCCTCATACAGCACATAGTGCTCCGCTCCGATCGGGTATTTTTTCTTGTCCATTTCAATCGATCAATTCCTGATCAAACAAAAACTGGATATATCTAATTAAAAATGCACCTCATACAACGAATCTTAATTCTACACTCCGTATGTATGATAATTAAACAAAATCAAAAGCAACATATAGAGAAGCGTAAATTTTAGGAACTTACATAAGAACGAGCCCTTGAAGATCAATTCTACGTACAAGCACCGAAAATTACAGAATCAACATTGATTATGCATATTAACCGATGCAATATTTAACAAAATCAATCTTGAGATTTTCCGAGGTGCAATAAAGGAAAGTTTACAGAGGCATTGATGATGATGATGGTGATGACGACGGCGAGAGCGAGGATGTTCTCTGGTTTCTCGTGACGGAGGAGAGAGAGAGTACCTATCGGATCGCCGCTCGAACGTAGAAACGTTTGTATGCTAAAATCCCGCCACTTGTTATGTCAATTGTCATGTCATGAGTCATCACTTCTTAAATTTGGATTTCTGTGACTTGCGATGCAGTTAAATCAAGGAACTAATAGTAATGTACAACTGTTGATGCACCATGTCCAAGTCGTTGAAAGTTGCTAATTGCTATTACACTTTGCTTTTGCAACGGGAACTAATTCTTACGCAATAATTTTTCTTATACATAACAATAACAATATCATATATAACAATAACAATAAAAATAACATTATCTTTTTAAAATTTATATTGTACAGCTCCATAAAAACATTGCAAATCTTGTTATTGGTATCTATCCTAATAAATAAAAATGATTTTGCCACATGTCCTTCTCTCATTCAATTTACCACATGTTATTTTGTCATAATTTAGAGATATATTTATTTTTTACTTGTCATTTATTTTATTTTTCATTTCTAATATATTATTAATTAGTTTCCATAAATTAAACCTACCATAATGATATTAATTTTAAATTTTAAATTTTAATTTCAATTTCAAATAAATTTACAGTTTAAACCTTTATGTTTAACAATTTGTTATAATTAACCTGTTTAGTATACGGGTCTGATAACTAAACAATAATTTTAATTTATTTATTTTTGGCATGTTTTTTTTCTCATAATTTTTATTTATTTCAAATTTCGAATTCAAATAAACTTCTCATTTAATCGTTTCTATTTAACATTTTGTTTTAATCAACCCGTATAATATACGGGTTTCACAACTAGTTTGGTATATACATTAACATATATATTAACATATATGAAATATATAATTCACAGGGTTTATACACATAATAACGGTCGATTACCTTTTTTAATTGATCTTTAAAGGCTATGCGATAGATCTATAATCTAATAAAATGCATTGTCCTACAATTTTTTTTTTTTTGATTTAAAATACATTTTTATCATCCATACAGAACTAGAACATTCTTTATTACTATTGTCAATAAAATAACGCATATTGTTTTTTTTTTATAAATATTGTTATGTTTATTTTATAAAAAGTATAACATAAGAACAGAAAATAAGATATCATGAAAACAAGGCATTAGAAAGTGTAAATACGAACCTAATTACAGCTGAGCCGACTTATATTTTAGAAAATGTATTTTTCTTAAAACAATGTTCAAATGCTATGCTATAGAACTATAATCTAACAATGAAAACTACATTTACTTTTCAGTAATATAAAATCTTGTATTCGTTTTAAACCTATAATATAATCGTTTGAAAATTCGTTTCAGAATACATTATTCTAAAATAAAACTTGATTGAAAAATTAATCATTATCATCCATAAAAAACTAACACACTGTTCATTACTATCTATAAAATAGTATATATTATCTTTTATGAATATTGTTATTTCTTTCATATAAAAATAAAAAGCATACCATAAAAGGAATACCATATAAACAAGACTAAATACTATGTCTTCTCATAGCGGCGATTGAAACGTGGCAGACACATGTTGATGAACGAAAACTTCAAATTTAAGTAAAATATTCATCATAACATTGAATAAAATATAACAGACACGTGTAAACAAGCTAAATCTTCCAATTTTAGTAAAATTTTCATCGTAGCGGTGAGTAAAACGTAGCAGACACGTATCGGCGAGCTAAAACTTCTATTTTTAATAAGTTTTTCATCGTAGCGGTGAGTGACACGAAACGGACACGTGTCGACGAGTTAAAACTTCAAATTTAAGTAAAATATTCATCGTAGCGGTGAGTAAAACGTAGCAGACACGTGTCGACGAGCTAAAACTTTCAATTTTAGTAAAATTTCCATCGTAGCAGTGAGTGAAATATAACACACGTATTGACGAGCTAAAACTTACAATTTTAATAAAATTTTCATCGTAGCGGCGAATGAAACGTAGCAGACACGTGTCGACGAGCTAAAACTTTCAATTTTAATAAAATTTCCATTGTAGCAGTGGGTGAAACGTAGCAGACACGTATTGACGAGCTAAAACTTATAATTTTAATAAAAAATTTATTGTAGCGGTGAGTGAAATGTAGCATACACGTGTCGACGAGCTAAAACTTTCAATTTTAGCAAAAAATTTCATCATAGCGGTGAGTGAAACGTAGTAGACACGTGTCGACGAGCTAAACTTTCAATTTTAGTAAAATTTTCATCGTAGAAGTGAGTAAAACGTAGCAGATACGTATTGACGATCTAAAACTTATAATTTTAATAAAATTTCATCGTAGCGGTGAGTGAAACATAGCAGACACGTGTCGACGAGCTAAGACGTTCAATTTTAGTAAAATTTTTATCGTAGCGGTGATTCGTGATGGAATGGAAAGTCATCTTCAATAATTTGAACATGCTGTGAATGATAGAGACAGTTTGTTCTTAGATCAAGGCACTTGTAAGCGGACTTGGATGTAGAGTAGCCAAGAAAAATGCATGGTGAGGAAATTAGCCATGGGTAGTAGAGGTATCCAAATGGTTTGAGTTAGGAATAGTTGGGAGGCTGATGAAAGAGTATTTGAAAGGGACTTTTATTGTTTAAAATGGTGGTGGGCAAGTGATTGATAAGATGGACTACAGTTTGAAAGGCATAAGTCTAGTATTTGAGTGAGGGTTTGGCGTAATGAAGGAGGGAGAGACCGGTTTCAACAATGTGTCTATGTCTTTGTTCTGCAACTCCATTTTGTTCTGGAGTGTGAGGTAGGGTAGAATAATGAGAGATACCATAGGTTTGAAGGAAGGGAATTAAGACAAGATACTCACCCTCATTGTTTACGAAGAGGGATAATATCTAATAGTTGAAGAATTTTTCAACAAGTATCTTGAACTATGGAAAGAGCTTGGCAACATCAGATTTGTGATGCATTGGGTACAGACAAACATATTTCGAGTAGGAGTCAACAAATATAACATAGTATATAAATTAATCAATTGATTTTTTAATAAAACCCCATCTATCAGAGTAAATTAATTGCAATGGTTCAGTGGCAACAAATGAATTTGGTCCAAAAGGTAATTTAGGACTTTTGTGTGGATGCGTGTCGAACCAATGAGAGATTGGTAATCTTGTACCGTTTCCAATTAGAATTTTGTCTGGGCCCCCATATGCAGAGGCATGTTGGAGGCCAGATGTCTCGAAAGTCACATGGTGTGAGTCCCCTATGTCAAAGAGCCATGAGATTGTGGTAATGAAGGAAACAGTAGTAGCATTTGTAATTGGGTTCTGAGATTGAGAGGAAACAATAGAGATGTAGTTATGTCTTAGGAACCTAGATAGTTTACGACATTCCTTGGTGGAGTATCCCGAAATGTTGCAGATTTGACAGTGAGAGGTGTTGTGATTCTAATTTTGGTGATAACCATAAGGTTGAGAGTGTGACCATTGAGGGATATTTGGTCCTTTTTTTGTGAATTGGGTGTAAACTTTTGGTTTCGGGGAGAGAGGTTGTTGGAGGGTTGGTGGGTCATGAAATTAGTAGTGATGATGGAGGATGTTATGGTTTGAAGAGTTTCCGTGAGTCCTCTTTCAAAATCGAGAAGTTTGTCAAAGAGTTCTGGGTAGGGAAGAGGGGTCTCATGTATTTTTGATGATTGTAACAATGTTATTTTATTCATCTCCGAGTTGAGATGGAATGTGCACCATAAGGTCTTCTTCAGACACGGGGCTTTGAGCAAGAGCAAGATCATCAGCAATGAATCTCATGTCTTGGAGATAGTCGGTAATAGATCTCTCCTTTAGGGTTTTTCACTAGTTTGGATTTCAGAGAGAAGAGATGAGACTTGGAGGTGTTGGCGTAGCTTGAATTCAACCGTTCCTAGGGTTCTCGGTCAGTATTTGTTGATGAGATGAGAGGTTGAATGGATTCTAAATAACTCCCAAGAATGAAACTGGTGAGACTTTGATCTTGGCAATCCCAGGTTAAGTATTTTGGATTTGCTTTCTTTCACTCTTTTTCTTCAATGAACTTGGTTCGTTGTGAATGATTGTCGTCGATAAAGGTTTCAAGTTGTAATCCAATCAAGGTGGATTCAACTTGCTTGCGTCAGATAGGAAATTTGTGGTAGTGAGTTTGATGGGAAAGTGAGTGGCATCACTCAATTGAATGTTTGTTGTTTGATTCACGATTGGAGGGTCTTGAAGGAATGATGGATTAGGGTTGTTGTGAGAAGGGATCGAGGATTGCTCATTGGAGCTTGCGGATCTCTGATACCATATAAAGGTTATTGAAAAGAATTGTTTTTATATATCTATACATTGAGTCTGCATTAGCTTTTATAGCCATTGTACATAACGAAATACAAGGAAAAGATATGATTGAGAACTAATAGCGAAAAATATTAAACTGATTAATTAAAAGAATAAATTAAATATGAAAGCTATTTTGTAGCTAGAGTATGTAATATCTTTGTAGAGCATCTTTAAATGGAATTTTCCTTTCCAATGATCTCAGACAATTCACAACATCCTCATTGGGACCTCTTTGCACCAGTTAACTCGAGAAATGGTCCATTTGTTTTTATAAATTTCTACTCCCATATAAAGGTTATAGAGAAGAATTGTTTTTATATATCTATACATTGAGTCTGCATTAGCTTTTATAGCCATTGTACATAACGGAATACAAGAAAAGTATATGATTGCGAACTAATACAGAAAAATATTAAACTAATTGATTAAAAGAATAAATTAAATATGAAAGCTATTTTGTAGCTAGAGTATGTAATATCTTTGTAGAGCATCTTTAAATGGAATTTTTCTTTCCAATGATCTCTGACAATTCACAACATCCTCATTGGGACCTCCTTGCACCAGTTAACTCGATAAATGGTCCATTTGTTTTTATAAATTTCTACTCCTATATAAAGGTTATTGAAAAGAATTGTTTTTATATATCCATACATTGAGTTTGCATTAGCTTTTATAGCCATTGTACATAATGGAATACAAGGAAAAGATATGATTGAGAACTAATACAGAAAAATATTAAACTAATTGATTAAAAGAATAAATTAAATATGAAAGCTATTTTGTAGCTAGAGTATGTAATATCTTTGTAGAGCATCTTTAAATGGAATTTTCCTTTCCAATGATCTCACAACATATCCTTGCAGAAATGGTCCATTTGTTTTTATAAATTTCTACTCCCATACTAAATTATAGAAACCTAATTTTACGGTTTAATTTTTTCAACAAAGAAAAACGAAATCTAATTTGTTTTCAACCAAAAAAAAACTAAATCATAGAAATCAAAATCAAACTATAATAATTTGAGTTTGTAATTATTTGGATACAATTTGCTTAAGTTCTGTCACCTTTTTGGCTAAACTCTTATGGTTTACCCATTACAAAACGAGTAAATACATAAATGATCTTATTGTTTGGAGTAATTTACACGTTTAATCTCTAATTTATTTTTTTTAATTCGAAAGGTCCCTACAGTTTGTTTTGTTGCACATTTGATCCCTGTCTTACCTAAAAAAGACTATTTTGCCATTGATTTTTTAATTTATTTAAATAAAATGAGATAGGTAAGGTAAGGTGAGGTGATGTGAGGTGGAAGTAGAGTTGAAGGTGTGTTTATTTAAATAAATTAAAAATCAAAGGCAAAATAGTATTTTTAGGTAAGACATGGACCAAACGCACTACAAAAACAAACAATAAGGATCTTTCGAGTTAAAAAAATAAGTTAGGGACCAAACATATAAATTACCCCAAACCATAGGGACCATTCATGTAATTTACTCTTACAAAATTTGTTCCAGTTTTTATGCTACACTTTTTACTTATCTTAGTTAAAAATATAGTCGATTAATTAAATTTGTAAATGAATCATTCTAGACACATTTAATCTATGTTATTTAGCTCTAAAATACTACAAGGTTGTTTCGCAATTACGTGAAAGTGAATGCGGCATATGGTAGTATGGAAAGTGCTAGTGGGCTACAAGTCATGGTTACCTGATACCTTGTCCTATGCCCATTCATATGTCTAGTTGAAACTTTTACGAGGGTCCACGATTCTCATGTTTCTTTAATATTTTTCCTTTGTAGATTCATCAGATTTTCTTTAAAATCTTAAATTGATTTTAAATGGCTTTTTTTCTTCTTTTAAACCCAAACAATGTGTCATTAGGTTTATATTTTTCAAATTAAAAAATATATATATTATTATACACTCAGAGTATACGTTGATCAAAAATACAAAAGCAACGAGCTTTCCTTTGGTAATGATGGTTTAAGAATGAAGAAACAGGGGTGCCAAATGCCAATCAAATGGCTTCTTATAGTTATTGTTAGTCTTCCATATTCTTCATGTACTCCTTTGAGAGTTTACTTTCCATTATCAGCTGTTGTTCTTTAATTAGCGAATACCCCGACTCAAGTAGACCTTCCACCGTTTGCTGATCAATCAAATCAAATGTATTACTTTTACACGCTTTACATCCAAACTTTGGATCATATCAGACAACTAATACAATGTGGCATGGAAGGCACCTTTCAAGGTTATTTTCAATAATGAAAGATGAGAAAAGCATTTGCATCTTTGTGGCATCTTTTTGAACCAGTCAAAAAATTGCAATTTTTGTCTCATTAATATTAATCTTAGAGTTGTTTCTTCCTTTGTTTCATTAACTTCCGTCGATGTTTGTCCCAATAAAGTGTTGCTTTATTATCTAGACCGTTTGAATGTGACTAAATGACCATTTTACCCTTACATTCCAACAAAGAATTTTCACAATATTCATCAATTTTGTTAAAAAAAGGTTGGCGTCTTAATATATTAAGTCCGTTTTTTTTGGCTTAACCCATTAAGTCAAAAAGTTACAACCCCCCATCCACATCTTGTCTCAGTCCTATGCATGCCAAAAGCAGGACAAGTGTCTTGTCTTGTCTAAGAAAAAGTGGTGGCCTCAAGAATTGGATTCGTTCTATTAAAATCTAGTATGGAGACCATCATAATTAAATCATTTTCTTTAGGAAATATAACATGAAAGAAACCAATGGAATCGGGTAACAAGATTATAAACCTTTTTAAATATACCTTTGGGGGCACAAACACGGGGAGATTTTCCTTCTTTTTTCGTTTGAGGAGTATACTTCCGACACTCTCAGGACCACCAATTTCGTTAACCCACTAAAAAATAAAAAATAAAAAATTATTGTGATTACGTTGTAAGCTACAAAATGGTGCTTCTTTTTTACTCAATGCAAAAAGAACAACTTAACAGAGAAAACACACACAGTAACCACCTTCAAGATCGAGTTGTCATAAGTTCGTGACCTAAGTGCTCCATAGAAGTCCAAGGCTAGAAGTAAATAAAAACACATACATCAACATGTCATGATTTTAAAGATATAAAACGATTGTATAAAATATGGTAAAGAGTGTGAAATAATATGCAATGCATATACCTTGATTAGGAAAGGTTTTCACTATGCTTATAACATCGTTCTTTGACAATCCATCTTTCTCATACATTCTGTTAACAATATTTATGATATCGTCGATGTTAGGCTGCCTGTTCCACAATTTTAAGACATTAAACTTGTGAATAATTAATTAATTTATATAAAGTCGCATGAAAAATATAAAAATTTGAGGTGCACCAGTAGAACTTGTCCATTCTCCCATCACGAACCAAAGGAGCATATAATGTTGAAAAATCATTTCCTGTAACAATTATAGGAATTCTGTTTGTGATATCTGATTCCCTCCAATCTTGTCCAATGCTAACTCTTGTTGGATTATCTGATAGATTCATCAGTGTGCCAACAACTATTTGGTTGTTCACTGTCATTTGAGTGTTTCCTGAATAACAATTAACAAATAAAATAATCATTAGTATAATATTATAATTAATTAAGGATCTCAAATGCTGGTTGGTTATTTCATGAACATATTTTAAATTATGAAATTGAGCAAAGGGCAAGTACAAGAGTGAACCATTCTTTCATCCAATCAGATTTGTAGCTCACCAAATCTACCAAGACCCGCATCAATATCATTGACCATTAAACAGCTCATTTTCCCCTGTTTTAAACAATGAGAAGATAAAATCAACCAATTAGTTTTGAAAAATCACACTTTAGACTTAACACATTAAATATGATAATAAAAAAGGTGAAACTTCTAACCTGATTTTGAACCACTTGAGATGCAGTACGATAGCGATCACGTATCAGTCTTCCTGGCTCTCCTGTAAAAGAGTGACAAATATAGGATGGAAGTTTACAAGTTTTATAAATAATAGTAAAAGATTTTAAAAAAACTAAAAACTTAGTATGAAAATTGTAATTTGTATAAGCAACATCTTACCAGCTCTCTCTGATTCCAACTCTCCAGCAGACATGATCACAGGTAAAATTCCCATGGCCTGGAAAATAAGTTCAGTTTGAAATGTTTTTCCTTGCCCTTTTCCTCCCCAAATGCCTATTAAACAGATGAAAAGAATCACATATCAAAGTTTTCAAACACTCACACACTGTCATCTAATACTAATATACTGCTCTTGCCACTTAGGTTACAATATTTACCTAGAATCAATGGAACTTTGATATTGAGAAGATGTGCAATATAGTTCTTCACAATGTGGACAGCTGCACAAGTTTAGTTCGAAAAAGGAGATTCTGAGCTCTCCAGAATTTATGATAAAAGAAGTAATAATAACAAGATGATAATATATCCGATATTAACAAACGTTA